TTTTGTTTGTAAAGTAAAATATACATATAAAAATATATGTAATTAAAAACATTAAACAACAAAAATTTATTATTAAAAATAAAAAACATTAATAAATATGTTAACAAATAATAAACAAATCACCAGAGTTAAAATATTACAATAAAAACAAAACCATATGTAACCAAAATGCGTTAAAAAAAACAATAACTGACTCCTTGATGTTGTAAGCAATAAATGTTGCATGTTAGTTGGCCATGATATCCTTAAATCCTTGTAAATGTTAGGACATTAGTGGGGAGTAGTGGTTGTTGTTGTTGGAGGTTGTGTGGTGGTGGTAGTAATGGTAGTTGGTGTTGTAGTGTTAATTACAATATGAGTGCTTCACATTTTTTTTTCATTATAAACAAATGGATGTGTTGCATTTATGTTGTTGTGGGATGATTATGCTGTTAGGAAAAGTGCTTTTTTATGTATATGTGTGTGTGTGTGAGTGTGTGTGTGCATGTGGTATTAAATAAGTGCTTGGGAAAGTGTGTTATAGATTTAGAAAAAAAGTATAAGCTTTGCAAAAATGAAAAAAGAAAAATGTTTTATTAATAAAAATGAAATAAAATTGATGGATAAATGTTTTAAATTGAGTCTAATTAAATAATTCTTTAAATTTTGTGTATTATTTAATTAAATTCAATTTTTATTAGAACAAAAAAATATGCTAATTTAAGCACTTTTTTTAAAGAAAAAATGGTCAAATTAGCATATTTTTTAAATGGAAATCTACTTTTTACTAACTACATAAGCATAACAACAACAAATACCAAATCTACGATAAGTCAAGGTTAAGATTAGCTACTGTTACGTTTAGGCAAAATAGAAGAGAGTTTAGGGAATGGTTATTCTTTGCTTTGTCAATAATTAATTGATGAACATTTCATTTTCAAAATATATGTTTGTCCAACTCACAATCGGTGTTGTAGCATTGTATCGTTGTATGTTATATCTTTTTTTAATATAGGCAGGCTTGGGGGTGGTAATGATTACATTTACAATTTCAATTACATTTGAAGTAATTGGAATTAAAGCCTTTACCATTGCTTGTAATTGTAATTGAAGTTTAATTTAATTAAATTTACTTCTAATTGTGAATTTTTGTTCCGTATAATTACATGTAATTTGTAATTTTTGATACCTAAATTACAATTACAAATAATTGTAATTGGTAAACTTCAATTGCAATTACAAGTAATTGTAATTGGCAAAACTATTACAAATAATTGTAATTGGTTATGGTCAATTACAAATTACAAGCAATTGTAATTGGAAAAACTTAAATTGCAAGTAATTGTAATTAACCATGTTATAAAATACTTTATATAATCATTACCACCATTCCTGATTATCAGGGTCAATTACAATTACTTGTAATTGTAATTGAGCAATAACCAATTACAATTACTTTTAATTGAAGTTTTTCCAATTACAATTACTTGTAATGTATAATTTACCAATAACCAATTACATTACTATTTTCAGAATTTATAAAAAAAATTCTAAAATTTCAGAATAAAGATAAACATCTTTTAAAAATATAGAATTTATTAAAAAGGTTTTTAAAGTTGAGATTTAAACGATTTCAAAATAAAATTTATCGAAAATTTTCTAAAAATAAAAAATTTCCTACAAAATTCTAAAAAAATGTAAAATTTACGGAAAATTTTCTAAAATAAAACAAATTTCTTTAAATTCAAAATTTTTTGGAAAATTTTCTTAAAATTTAAAATGAAGAAAAATTTTTTAAAAATCAGAATTTGTCAGAAATTTTCTAAAATTTCAGAATTTTAACAAACACTTTTTAAAAATATAGAATTTATCAAAAAGGTTTTTAAAATTGAGATTTAAACGATTTTAATATAAAATTTATAGAAATTTTTCTAGAATTTTCAGAAAAAAAATCTAAAAATGTAGAATTTAAAAAAAAATTTCTAAAATAGAAAAAAACGCTCTCAAAATTCAGAATTTTTATAAAAATTAAGAAAAAAAAGTTTAAAATTTTTCCACAATTTTCTAAAAATATCGAACTTTTCGACAGAACTTTTCCACAATTTTCTTAAATAGAATATTTTCTAGAAATTCTGATTTTGCTGAACATTTTCTAGAAATGTAATTTCTATGAAAAAGTAAAACTTATAAAAACTTTGGTTAAAACTGAAAATTTTAATTTTTTTCTTAAATTCATTAAGAGTATTCTTTAATAATATTCAAATTGTTATCGGTTTAATAGATCACCAATTAAGTCGGAAACGGTGTAATGAGATATTTAGAGAATTTCCGAAAATTTGTTTGGAAAACTCACGTGATAAAATTTCTATTTATAAAAAAATGTCAAAGAAAATTAAAGCAAAACAAAAAAATAGTTAGAACCATTAGTAAAATAAATAAAAATAATAAATAAATTAAGAAAATAATAATAAATAATAAAATAAGATAACATAAAAATAAATAAAAGCAATAAATTTTAAAAAATTAGTATGTTTTGGAAATTATTAGTAAAGTTTTAAATTTAAATAAAATTTTAATTTTTCTTTAAAATTAAAATTATATTTAAATTAAAACCAAAAAACTACAAGAATTTTTACGAAAAGATACCAAAAATAAACCAACTTTTAACAAGGAGTTACATTAAGTTATTGTTTAATTGAAATAACAAAAAAAATGTTAAATACAAAACAAAATCGTTGGATGAAATATTTAATCAAATTCAAAATTTCCAAAATATTTTTTTTTCCCACGTTAAATGTATAATAAAGAAAATTAAGATTGTGACAAAACAATATTTGGTTGTTACAATTATATGATACATTGATTTGCATAGCATTAAAAATAGTTTGTTTGTGAACACAATATTTGTTAACATCAAGCATATTGATAAAAGCTTTTCTTTCAAAACTTTGATTTCTATACTGTAATAAAGAAAATTATGCTTGTGACAAAACAATATTTGGTTGCCACAATTATATGATACATTGATTTGCAAAGTATTAAAGCATATTTTATTTTGTGAGTACAATATTTGTTAACAGCAAGCATATTTATAAAAGCTTTTCTTTAAAAACTTTGATTTCTTTACTGTAATAAAGAAAATTATGCTTGTGACAAAATAAAATTTGGTTGCTACAATTATATGATACTTTAATTTACATAGTATTAAAGAATAGTTTGTTTGTGAGCACAAATATTTGTTAGCAGCAAGCATATTGATAAAAGCTTTTCTTTCAAAACTTTTATTTCTTTACACTTTATCTTTTATATCAAGTTTTAATAAAAGCTTAATTTCATATTGTATACAGCAATCATTTGAAAATATTTGTATTATTTTGTCATAAACAATTTCGTGTTCATCACAACCAAATCTTATAAAGATTATTATTTTTGTTTGTACAAAACATATATTTTTTGTTAATTAAAGCAAAAGTTACTTTACAAAAAAGCGAAAAAATTTCACAATTGAAAATTGTTTTTTTCTTTATTTTTCCCAATTAAAACAAGAGTTGCTGTAAACAAAAATTAAAACCGATTTACAAAACAACAACCCTTTATTCCAAGAAAATCCCATAAACCATTAAAATTTTGTTTTCGTTTTTTTTTTTTTAATAACAATTAAATAAGAGATAAGACCAATAATGTTTTTTTTTTAAATATTTGTTTATATGTATTAAGTAAAATTTTTTTCGTTTTTGTTGATTTTTTTTCTAATAAATAATAATACTTATGCTTAAGGCGTAAATAAATTAATTAAAATAAATAGGCACTAATTTAAAAATAAATAATTTAAATAAATAACTAAACTAAACTAAAATCTTAAGTAATTTTTGGCATTTACAGGTTAAATAAATACACACTTAATACTGTTTAAAACACTAAAGACTTTTTTATGGGGGGAAAACTAAATTTACAATATCTACAAAATATTTGGCAGATTTTTTTACAAACTAGTTTAAGTACACTGAGAGAAATAGAGTTTGTAAAGATTTTTGGTATTTTGAACTATTTGGTATAGGAAATAATATCTAAACGATATGATTTCTACAATTGCCATCTACTGCCGAAACTATAGGGCGAATATCTATAACTAGGACTACTAAATGAACCACCCGTTGAGGAGTGGGCAGCTGCAGCAGCGGCTGCCGCTGCATGAGATACTCCGAATGGTGTACTATGATGGAACATATCAAAGGCAGAACCAAAAGCTGAACGTGGCGGGGTTTGATAGAACATAGCGGCAGTAGCAACAGCGGCAGCAGCAGCCTGCTGTTGTTGTTGTTGCTGATGCTGCTGTTGATGCTGGCTATGTTGCTGAGAGGGTGACAGATAAGCAGGATTAGTCATGATGGTGTTCGAGGTGGGTGTAGACATATTATTGCTGGTATTCACAGGCGAGTTACTGAGATTAAGAGTTTGAGAGTTAACAGAGTTACCCAAACCACTGCTGTTGTTAGTGTGATTGGCATTATTGGCCGAATTATACAAAGCAGTTAATAAATCTTCTTGTGGGGCCGGTTGTTGTTGCTGTACAGCAGTAGAAGCTTTATGAGAGGGAGCACAAGTGCTAAAAGCACTTGTGGCCGAGGGCACAATACCAGCCGTGGTGGAAGGTGAATTAGTTTTCACTGGTTTTTCACTTTCCTGACTAAAGCTATTAGGCATATGATTTTCTTTGCTATGCGAAAAGGTATTTTGCGTAACAGCCTCAACACCAGCTACCGTCTTCATAAATGTTGCCAAATGCATGGCAGCGGCAGAATTATGCTGTTGCAGCTGCTCCGACTCGACACGATTTAATTCATCTAAATGCTCCTTGACCACCATCATGATTTCATCTGCCATTTGTTGGCCTTCATTCGATCTATCCGAACTATCAGAGGAATTGTGACTAGCATTGGCGGCATTATGTGTAAACACTTTCTGAGAAACTTTGCTAAGCAGTGCTGGCACATCCTTATAGAGGATATCCAACAACTTACCGGTGGTAAACAGCACAATAGCCTTCAGACAGGAGTACTCAGCTGAGTCCACATGTAATGCCTTCAATTTTTCCACTTGTTCCTGGAAGATGCGTATGTGATCCATAAACGCTACCACACGATCAGCAGCCATGGGTGAGGCATGTAAACCGGCGGCCGCCAGCAAAGGTGCCACATGCAAAGGCATGGAACACTGACTGGCATTAAGCACAAACAGTTCAGACCACACCAAACGTAAGAGGGCTACCTGATCGGTAACTTGCAGTTCGGGAAAGAAGGGTATATTCTTGGCCCATTCAACAGCCGAGAATAGTAAACGAGCCGCCAGCTCACAGATATTATCAATGCCCATAATATTATTGGGTTGCATACATTGGCCATAGCGGGAGGTGGGATAGGGTTCAGCACGCAGGAGTAATGATATATAGGAACTTAGGTAAGAGTGACCATTGAAACCGGCAACACCCATGGGATCACCATTGGCCAATTGATATTGACCATGCATGCCAGTCAAACCGGGTTGAGTGGGTGGGACACGACCGCGTTGTACAGCTAAAATGAAAAGAACAAGAAAAAGAAAATTATTAGTAAAATTATAGTTAAAGAAAAAAAGTGTTTATGTATGTATTTGTGTTAATGTTTACCTATACTATAGTGGCCTAACAAATATAATTATTTTGACCACTATATCACACGTAATACAATACCTAACTGACACAAATACGTAAAACTCTGAACTTTTCAAATAATATGCCACATATCATAATAAAAGTTGAAATTAAATCAGACAACCTCAATCTTTGCACATTGTTATACAAATTTCAATTTCTATTCTTGGCAGTTTGTTGTGTATGAGAGAGAAGACTGCAACCCTAAAAATTATATGTAAAGTAGAGATTTAAAATAACAAAGGATTTCCTGATTTTACATATGTATGAGTGTGTGTTGGTATGTAGAAATATACAAGTAAGCAGATACTTTTTACTTAAGACAGCCAGGAATAGTCAGACAGACGGACTGACAGACGGACGTACTGTCTATTTAAACAAAAAGTCGTCATCACCAAGCAACAACCCTTCTTTTAAGATTTAAAATTGTAAAATATGTAAATTTTTAACAACATTTTGTTCTTTTTTTGTTGTTGGATTTTTTAAACAATCTTTAATAATTTTCAACGCAGTTTGCTTTGTTTTTTTGTTCTTTACTTAAACTTATTTGTGTAAAAAAATAGACAATATTTTGCTGGTGTATTTTTGTTTTCATTGTTTATCGCTGTTATTGACGACACCAAAAATTTACTTTTAATTAAAATTTACATTAATACAGCTTAAATATGCAAAAATACACACACACTGGCAAAAAAAAAAATTAACAAATTTTTATATAAACATTTATATGGAAAAACACTTTAAGGCATTGAAAACCATGACTGTTATATCTCTATACATCAGTGATCGTTACAAAGAGTAACATAGTATTTTAAAGCGATCATATGTGAAAAAGTTTTGTGGTAACAGGATTTATTGAAATTTCTTTTTTATTTTTTTGCTTTTGAGCTGGTTTCCTGTTTGGCTGTGAGTGCCGACCACTGCTTTTGATAGTCATTTATTTGTATGTCTTGTATGCTGATGTATCCGAGTATTTATTATTATTATTATTTTTGCTTGCCTGCCGCTCTATACAACAAGGTTAAAAACATGTTGACACTTTTTTTTCGCAGCTACTGATTATATTTAAATTGCAATTTTAAATTTAACAAAAAAAAAATATGTAAAATAAAATGGTTGCTAATTTTATGGAATTTATAGAAAATTTCATAAGAAATTTGGCAATTTAGCGAAAAAAAAATTTTGAAAAATTTTGAAATTGTTTTAAATGAGAAAATTGAGAAATTTTCAAAGAGGAAATTGAGAAATTTTTAAAGAGAAAATGGTCAAATTTGCCTATTTTTAGGAAATTTGGCAACAGGGCAATTTTGAAAAATTTAATTTATTCTCAATTAAATAGGTTTCAAATATTAGGAAATGAACAGAAACAATTGTTATAAATTAAGTTTTAAATAGTTTAATGAAATTTGGCAACATAGCAAATTAAATACAAATTTAAAATTTGCCTATTTATAAGAAATTTGAAAAAAGTTTTCAAACTTTTACTCAATTAAAAAAGGTTTCAAATTTTAAGAAATGAACAGAAAAAATTGTTATAAATTTAGTTTTGAGTACTTTAATGAAATTTGGCAACATAGCACTAAAAGAAAAATTTTGATTTAAAAAAATAAAATTTGATAAACTTATTCTCAATTAAAAAATGATTTCAAATATTAGGAAATGAACGGAAATTTTTATAAATTAAGTTTTGAATACTTTAATGAAATTTGGCAACATAGCATTAAAAACTAAATTTTGTTAAAAAAAATAGATAAAAATTTAAAATTTGCCTATTTATAGGAAATTTGGCAACAGGGCAATTTTGAAAGAAGTTATCAAACTTTTACTCAATTAAAAAGGTTTCAAATATTAGAAAATGAGCAGAAAATATTGTTATAAATTTAGTTTTGAGTACTTTAATGAAATTTGGCAACATAGCATTAAAAGCAATATTTTGATTTTAAAAAATTAAATAAAAATTGAAAATTTGACTATTTATAGGAAATTTGGGTTTCAAATATTAAGAAAATGAACGGAAAATTTGTTGTAAAATAAGTTTTAAAATAAATTTTGTTTTAAAAAAATTAAAAGAAAATTAACAGAATATTGAATTAACTTTGAAAGCTATAAATTAAAATTTTTCAAATTTTTTTGGAATATGTTGTTGTTGTTGTTCTTTTTTGCCTTAATAGCACGTGTTTAAGAGTTTAGAGTGTTTAAGAACTTTTGATTTATGTTTTTTTTTAGCAAAAAACGTGATATTAAATTTGAGACAAAAACACTCAAGCACGTGTTATTTTTGCAAAAAGTGATTTAATAAAAATTTTAAAATTTTCTTAAGGATTTTATTAAATAATAAGAACATTTAAGCAAGGGTTAAGTATTTTTAAAGGTGGTTAAAGATTTACTTTTATTAAAAGATTTGCTTTTGTTTAAAACACCACAATATGTTAAAAATCAAAACATTACAAAAAAAAATAACCACAAACAGCATCTTATCAAAGGGGATAAAGAAAAATAAACATTTCAAAATATTAGAACGAAAAAAAAATCTTAATACTCAAAAGATACAACCAACACCTTTTTGGTTGTAAAGGAACTATAAAAGTATCTAAAAAAATCTAAATTCCCAGGCCAACTTAAAACTGGACATTAGGACATAAACCGGTTCTAAATAAAAGTACCTGAACTAACTTAAGAAGTGACCCTTCTTTGGCTTGCTTGACCATTCACTTTTTAAACATTTTTTAGTAGCAAGGGGTGGTATAGAGCATTAAGAAAACTAGACAAACAAGCTTTAGTTTAAGAAATTGCAACCCCCTGATGTCTTAAGGAAATATATATACAAAGACTTATTTATTTTAATTGCCATAAATAATGAGGGTCAAGTTTTAATTTTTGAAACCTCTTTGACAAAACTGACCATTAGTTTGTTTTTTTAATAATTTTTCTTTTCTTGCTGTATTTGAAAGATAGTTTTGTTTTGATCAGTTTTCTTTTTTTTAACGAAAAAAGACGTTACAAAACAAAAAAATCCAGGTGTGGTAAAAGATATATGATTTTTTTTTTACAGAATTTTGATTTTTTTGTATAACAAGCACTTGCAAACTTTTCACAGTAAAATTGCAAAACAATTGTTGGTTTTTGTTTGTAGTTTTTAGAATTGTTAATACATTTATGAGTTATAAGCCTTAAGGCAAAAAATATTTTGCTTGAATTTTTATGGTTTGAGAAGGATTTTTTTTTGCAAAAGATTACTTTAAATGATAAACAATTTATATATGCATATAGTATTTTATATGCATACGAATGTTGTAGGAGTGTTTGGGTACCAACAAAAAAATGGGGGAAAAATATAAACCAGATATTCTAATAAAAAAAAAAAAGAAAAAAATTTAAAAAATCTAAGATTGATATTTATTATTTAAGGAATATTTTACAAGCTCGAGTTCGACTCCCAACTAGGTTTTTTAAACAAAAAGACAAAAATTTTAAAAAATCTGAGATATTTTTTTTATATTGATTTTTATTATTAAAGGAATATTTTTCGCTCCCGAGTTCGATTCCCATTTGATTATTTTTTTTTAAATTGCAAAGATACTTTTTAGGAAAAGGAATTTTTGATCTAAATTTCTATTTTAGACACAAACCTTGATGTGATCAAAAAACAAAAATTCACTTTTATTTAAATGTCATTTGTGTTGCATCACAAAAAAAAAAAAAAAAAAAAAAAAAACTTGTCAATCTTATTTTAATTTCTTTACTATACAGATGTTCTTCTAAATTGTTTAAAATATCTTTAAAAGAAAAGGTAAGCAAAATGTCTTTTAAAAACAAATCCTCTATTTTTTTATTGAAAAAAAAAATAAAAAATTCAAGAAAATTTTAAGGGTTTTATTTTCAAAATAATATAAATTTATTTGCTGGCAAACAACTAGTTTAACTAGTTTTCGTACCCGAATTGTTGACAATTCTTTTTTTTATTACAATAAAAATTATTTTAATTTTAAAATTATAATGACCTCGTACAAGGTGGTGGTGATCTATTTGCTTAAAAAACAAGACATATAGGGTTCAAATGAAACGAAAAACTTGACCATTCTTTAAAACCAAACACCAAATGTCATGAACTTATAACATAAAGTAATACCCAAGAGTTTTTTTTTTTATAAGAAATTTGTAAAAAAAAGTAAATTTTCTCACGTTTTCTTAAGCTTAAGAAATTTGAAAAAAAAAAAACTACATTTAAACAGGAATTTTATTCTGGTTTATTTACTACTTTTCTAACAAGGTGTTGAACTTTTTAATGGTCATTAGAGAAGGGTTAAAGAAATTTGGGGAAAAAAAACCCGTTGCTGGGTTTAAGTATCATATGAAAACAAGTGCTTTAAAGAGAATTTGTTGAAAAAATAATAATTTATTTAAGAAAAAAAATAACAAGTAAAAAATTGAAAATTTGCGACCAGTAGAGTGCGCACAAAGTTTACATGAACACACAGACGGACAGACAGACGGATGGACAGACAGAGAGAGAGAGACAGACAGACAGACAGACAGACAGACAGACAGACAGACAGACAGACAGACAGACAGACAGACAGACAGAAAGACAGACGGACAGACAGACGGACATTTCAAAATCTAACCAGAAAATGATTCTGAGCCGATTGGTATACTTTTAGCTTGAAAAAACCTGTCAATAACAGTGCAAATATTTCACTTAAATTAACCAAGTTTGACATACTGGTATTTGTATAACTAAAGATTGTCATTATCATTATTTGCTGGTTATTTTTGTCGGTTTATATATAGTGATCTGTTTGTAGCTGACTTGATCATTCAATAAAAGTAAATTACTTGTTAAATCAATGCTTAGTTAATTGTTATTGTCATTATATTTGTTTTTTGTTGCTACTTTTGTTTTGTATTTAATGACTGTTGATAGCTAGCTGTCAAAGTCAACAAGTTGCAAGCAAATACTTGTAAAAAAAAACTTGTATACAAATTTAAAAACACTTAGTGTAAAAATGAAACGTTAGGTTGTTGTTGTTTATTTTATGGTTAATAATAAGTCAATTGTGCTAAAAAAAACACACACACATACGTAAATAAAAACTAACAGTAATCATAAACTAATTGACAAAATATTAAATATATATTGAAAAATGTGGCAATAAAGTGGTTTGTAACGATACAAATCTAAAAACCACAAATTTTAAGGAAATTTTTTTGTACAAAATCTTCTACTATTCTTTTAATAAAATGTATTTTTATCAAAATTGAAATTTGGCAACATGTCTTTAAAATATATGCGAGGTAAATGACTGCACTAAACCGATCAAGGGTGTAAAACTCGGCTAAATTATTGTTTTTGTTGTCAATAAAGAGTCTTGTAATTAAATTAATCTATTTCTTCTAATTTCAGACCATGTGTTGACTGCTTAATTACCCTATAATTTAAACGTTTTGTTTTTGTTTTTTCCTCTTTACATTTCTTTAACATTAACTAGTAATTTATGTTTGTTTTTCTCAGTTTGCTTTAACAAGTTTATCAATTTTTGCATTTAGTTCTAGAGGTCAATATAAGGTGGCTTTTAAACTAACACCATTTCATGTTTAATTGATGCCAGTTTTGTAATGTCTATACATAGATACATACTAAGCAATAAATTTGTAGCAACCAAAGCCTATGACAACAAGTATACAACGTGGTGACCAATTTACAAACAGACAGACAAACAGAAAGACAGACAGACATTTATTCATGCCATTTAATAATTATTAATGATATTAAGTCATTGTAGTATGTGGAAATCATTTGAATTTTGTTGTTGTTGTTTGTCATTTTGTTTTTTTTAATATAAATTGAATTTAAATATATGTTTGTACTGGCTATAGATAATTGAAGTTATGATTAGTTATGAATGAATTAGCTTAGACAAAAACCAGTAGTAGAGGTTTAAAGGAAATTTGACAACCTGGCTTTTAATGTTAATTAAAACTGTTAAGTTTTTTTTATGGAAAATAAACAATTTTTTGCAAATTTTTTAATAAAGCTTTTACAACCCTTATTTAAGTTATAATCGGCTTATGTAAAAAGTTAATATGAAGACAATATGCTCATTAACACCTCTTTAAAAAAAATAAATAATTTATTTTATTTGAATTTACTTTTACATCACAAGACAAAACTGCAAATCTATGCCAAGCATTTGACATTTTGGCTATAAGGCAAATTCAAACTCGTGCTACTTCCGTTTTATTTTTAAATACTTATTTTTTACAAATTAATTTGCAAATGTTCTCAAAGTGAAAAAGAAAACGAAATAGTTTTTTTTTTTAAACAATTACATGCAATAGAAAGAAAAATAGAAATAGACGTTAAAAGACCAGCCTTAGCAATTTGACTTTTAATTGACCCTAAGCAAAGATATATACACACAAAAACTACAATGTATGTTTATAAAAATTAAATTAAAAATAAAATGAGAAAATAAATTAGAGAAAAAAAACACTTACCTTCACGTCTCATACCCATTTTGAGGCACTTTCTGAGGCGACAATATTGGCATTGATTACGATGATGCTGATCTATGGGACAATTTCTGCTCCCCCGACATGAATAGGTTAAATTACGTCTTACGGAACGTTTGAAAAATGATTTGCAACCTGTAAATAAACAAAAAAGAAAAACAATTTTAATAAATATAAAACAAAATCATTTGGAAACCTTTAACACTTTTAACATATGTAGTTTAGCAACATTCACTACTAAGCAACATATTGCTAAACGTAATAGTTTTGTTTTTAAAGGGTTCTAAACACATTTTTCTTCATAACTTTGTTAGTTTTTAAACAATTAAAAAAAAACAACAATTTATTTGCCACAACAAAAAACATCAAGCTTGTTTAGCAACATTAACTACTAAGCAACATGTTGCTTACGGTTGAAAACATATTTTTCTTTATAACTTTGTTAGTTTTTAAGTAAATTTAATAATTTTTTGTTTTATAAAAAGAAAAGATTTTCAGTTTTTCAATAATAACAAAAGCTTTTAATTATCTTGTACTAAAGTCCCCTCAAAAGCTTACAAGAAAGCTTACAAAATTGTTGTATTATTCTAATTTGTAGGGTATTTTAAAACTGCTATGACCTTAAAAAAACAACAATTTATTTACCACAACAAAAAACCTCAAGCTTGCTTAGCAACATTAACTGTTAAGCAACATGTTGCTAAACTTAATGGTTTTGTTTTAAAGGGGTTGAAACACATTTTTCTTCATAACTTTGTTAGTTTTTAAGCAATTTTAATAATTTTTGTTTTATAAAAAGAAAACACTTTCAGTTTTTCAATAATAATAAAAGTTTTTAATTATCTTTTACTTAAGCTCTCCAAAAAAGCTTACAAAATTGTTGTATTATACTAATTTGTAGGGTATTTTATAAATGCTACAACTTCAAAAAAAGGCCACAACACAACAAACAAAAACCTTAAGCTTAAACAGAGTGCAACTAAACATCATTTGAAACAAATTCCGTACTATGTAAGCAAGCTTGTTAGCAGCTTTAACAGCCAAAACATCATGCCTTCAACATGCATGCATACAAAAAAAACTAAATACATCTTAACATGGATTTTGACCCTATTTTTGTAGTTGTTGTCTTAAAGCTGCCAGTAAGTTTTCTACTTATATATAGTTTAATGCAAGCCATGTGAACTTATAAACTGGTAGATCACTTTTGCTTAAAAACAAAAACATTACAGTCACCACTAAACTAAACTTTGTCTACTATAAAGTTATCCCTTTTTTGGACAGAAGGGGAGGGGGGTTAGGTTGGGGGGGCTTAAATATAGCAACGATGACTTGCTTTTTAAAACTTTGAGTGTTTTACTATCTTGACTGCTGTTCATGTTAAAGCAGGCTGACGCTGCCTTCCTGGTTTTCTGTTTTTTTCCTAACATCATGTCAATGGCCATGTTACACGTTTCATGGCTTAACGCCTCCCATAAAATTACCTTTAATGGGTTTCAATTAATGTTTAGAGATTTTTTTTTGTAAAGTACTTTAGTTTAGTTTTGGGAGAGATTTTTAAAATTTAGTTGATATTGAAAACTAGGCGCTTAATACTGTTAAAAAAAAGGGTTTACTGTGTTGCTAACAAAACAACAACACGAATTTTTATGTTGTAGCAACAAGCAGCCAGGCAAAAAAACAAAAATGTTTAAGTGTGTTTAATTTTATGTCGCCACGTATCTAAACATGTGTATCAGGCAACTCAAAGTCCTGGTTGTTGTTGTTTTTGCTAATGCTTACTTAAACAAAGTAAATATTTACAATTTTTAAGGTTAGAATAAGAATTTTTTTTGAAAAAAAATTAATTTTTTAATAATTTTTAAGCAAATAGTTAATAATGAAAGCAAAAACAAATAATATCCAACAAATTGTCTTTATTAAATGAAATCCAAAAAAAAAAGAGTAATAAAAATTTTCCCACCAAAGTTTTCAAACTACAAACTAAAGCAAAATTTTACAAAAAAAAATTCGCCCAGACCAGCCAGACATAAGCAACACCACCTTAACCAGTTTTTGACCATATGCACCTTTAAAAAGTTTGCCACACAAAAAAAAAACCTAACTGAGCCAAAAGCCTGCAACAATAAAATTCATAAAAACACAAGAAAAAAAAACATAACAACAATTGTTAAACAATAACGTTAAACTAAATTTGTGTATGTTGTTGTTGCTGTGTTGAATTATGGTAAGCATGCGCAAAAAGCCAACTTTCAGATACAATTGCAATTGTTGTATTACAAAGCCTATATACATACATACGTGTATCTAAACATACATATGTATGTAGATATGTAGCTTACTATATAAAAACTTTACAATGCGGGTGTTAGGTCCAAAAAAACGCTTTAAAAGAGATGGCATACATAGTTGTAAATTCCTTAATATAAAATAAAACAGGATTTTTCTTTAAACGTGCAAAATTCATGGTAAATTTATAAAAAAAATAAGAACTGATTTTGTTATGAGTGTATGTTGCTTTTTATTATTTTGAGTAGGGAGTATATAAAACATTTTTATTTGCGGAGATCCACCCTTTTTCGGTTATTGATATAACACGATATCTTTAATGTAAAATGTACAACAACAACAACAAGATTTGCTAAGTTTAAAGAAATCATTATAAAGCTTTTTTCAAAATCATGAAACAATTGCTTTAACTAAGATCAACAGATGCTGATTTTGAAAAGAGGCTTCACAGCAAAAAAAAAAAATATCTTAAGAATAAAGAAATCTACACTATCTTCATCAATAGTTTTTCCTAAATTCTGTTTTTTAACTTTTTTTTAAAGGATTATCTCGTTTTTCTTAGTTCTTAACTAAAACTATCTAGCAGCCAAGCATATGGTCTTACTTAGGCTAACATATGTTTGTATTATATTCTAGCATACAGGCTGCTAAACAGACTATAAAGGTTTAAGCCTTTTTTGTTGTTTTCTTTAAAGCTAAACAACAGCCACCAAAACTATATAGTATATATTGTAAACCAGAAATCGTGACTATGTAGTATAACGTGGTTTCATGTTGTTCTTGTTGTTGTTGTTGTTGCAGTTTAGATGATCATATAATATGTTTTATATGGGATTTAAGTATAAATCGTCATCATCACCATAAGATATAAGACTCATATACTTCTAGTCATCATTATTATCAATGTGAATTCTGCAAAATCATATCTAAAAACTAGGCGATTTACCGACATGCTAGGCATGCTGATATGTTAAAACAAGTTAGATTTTATATTTGGGCATGGTCGACCATATGATACCCATATGCAAAATATCATCGTGTTATTAGTGTTTATAAGTGAATTTTGACCATCAAGTCATTTTCTGAAGGGGACTTTATATGGGGTATAGGGTCATATGAAGCCTAATCTTTGCGAAAATCAGCAGTATCATTAAGACTTATATAAAACTAAGTTTTTGCTGATTTTTGAAATGATACAAGAACATTTAACATATTTATGAGCTCAAAAGCCCTATTTGGGAGGGTACGGTTGTAGTGGGGCTAAACGAAATAATGGACCGATTTTAACAATTTTCAATAGGCTTCGTCCTTGAGAAGAGTATGTGCCAAATTTAATCAAATTATCTTGAAAATTTCGAACTGTAGAGTGCGCACAAGTTTTACATGGACACACAGATGGACAGACAGAAAGACAGACAGACAGACAGACGGACAGACAGACAGGCAGACATATATATATAAAGCGACACAGAAAGTGATTCTGAGCCGATTGCTATACTTTAAGGTGTTGAACCAATATTTTTGGATGTTACAAACATCAGCACAAACGCATAATACCCTCCTCACTAATAGTGGTGGTGTAAGGTATAAAAATACTAGTGTTTGGTATAAAGCACCCCCCCTCTTCTTCCCTATAAACATCCTTTTTTTAAGAAAATATTTAAGAAAAGTATTGTTTAAGTTGAAATTTCCAGCTTTAAAACCTTTGCAAGCCACAACAGTGTTTGGAGTTTTGATGATATTTTTACAGCTTAAAAGGAATTTTATGAGTTTTAGTTATTGTTTTACAATTCTAGTAAAATAAATGATGGGAATTTTTAAAAGAAAAATAATTTTTTTAAAGGGAAGGGAAGTTTTTTGTTTAAAAATGTTTAGCAAACATTTTGCTAATTATTAAAATACAAACTGTTAACAAAAGCTTAATCTATTAGAATTAAGTTTAAGATTTAATTTTTTTAATAGCAATTTTTAGTTCAACTTCATTAAAAATAATGAACCTAAAAACTTCAACATTTATCTTTTAAACCATTTATTAAGCTGCCGTTTTATTAACATAAATCTTAAATTAAAATTCCTTAATAAGTAATTAATTAAACACACTACTTCTATCTAGATATTAATCTTTTGCGCCCTAATCCTTAAGTTAAGTTTTAAACGTTTTATTATAGAAAAAACAAAAAAAAAGTTCTTATAATTTATGAAATACACTTAGAAGAAGATTTGCGTGTCAAATATTCATTTTTTTACAGTTAAAATAATAAAGCAGACCTTAACGCCACACTCTTAACAGACGAAAAACTAGCAATTCTAGTTTAAAGCTTTATAATATAAGCAGTTTTTTTTTTCTAAGTTAACTGAACATTAACTGCAATTAATTGAACTTCCTCAAATGCGGCAAGCAAACAAAAAACTAAACTATCTAGACTAATAGAAAATTACCTAAATAACATAGAACTATTAAATAAAGTGCAACAAACATGAACTCCATATCAAAATGCCAAAACGAGAAATGAGCAAAAAGAAACACACGTTTTGCGCACGCGCACTTGTTGCGCATCGTCAAGCAATTAAAAGCGTGAAATTACTTTAGAAAAAAAAAACGCTAAGAAAAAAACCCACAACTACAAAAATTTAACTTAAAGTTTTAAACTGCTATATCAAGAGACAATTAAAAGATTGATTATTGTTTAGCTAAGGAAAATCTTAAAGAAAAACTATATTACTTAAATTTAGGAAGTTAACCTAGTTTTGGCTATAAAACTGAACTTAAAACTGCTTAAATTAATTTTGCTTGTTTGTGGATTTTAATTACAAAACAAACGCTAACTTTGAAAAAAACACCATAA